AACGTGGTTATCTGGATCATGTAGATCTTTTTTGTATAGTTCTTCTGTGTATTCTTGCCACCTCTTCTTTTTTTTTTTTTGTAGTGGTCTTGCCATACATTGACATGAATCAGCCACGGGTATACATGTGTTCCCCATCCTGAAACCCCCTACCACACCACCTCTTTTTAATACTTTCTGCTTCTGTTAGGTCCATACCATTTCTGTCCTTTATTGTACTCATCTTTGCATGAAATATTACCTCGGTATCTTTTTTTTTTTTAAGAGGTCTCTAGTCTTTCCCATTCTATTGTTTTCCTCTATATCTTTGCATTGATCACTGAGGAAGGCTTTCTTATCTCTCCTTGCTATTCTTTGGCACTCTGCATTCAGATGGGTATATCTTTCCTTTTCTCCTTTGCCTTTAGCTTCTCTTCTTTTCATGGCTATTTGTAAGGCCTCCTCAGACAACCATTTTGCCTTTTTGCAACTTCTTTTGCTTGGGGATGGTCTTGATCACTGCTTCCTGCACAATGTCACAAATTCTCGTCCATAGTTCTTTAGGCACTCTATCAGATCTAATACCCTGAATCTATTTCTCACTTCCACTGTATAATCATAAGGGGTTTGATTTAGGTCATACCTGAATAGTCTAGTGGTTTTCCCTACTTTCTTCAATTTAAGTCTGAATTTGGCAATAAGGAGTTCACGATCTGAGCCACAGTCAGCTCCCAGTCTTGTTTTTGCTGACTGTGTAGAGCTTCTCCATCTTTGGCTGCAAAGAATATAATCAGATTTCGTAGGTGATGCTATATGCACTTAATTCTGCCTCTTGTCAGTTGGCATGTGAGCTTAGGCTCAACAGACCATCAGCTGCTCCACTGGAAAGGTACTTCGTACACTTCCTGCTGAGTAGGTACCCTGTGAGATGGTACTTTGCCTGTGTGAAGACTCTGTTCCCATACCTTTCACCTGATGGTTTTTTTTCAGTATCAATTAATGACCTTCACCTGAATCAATTAACAAAAGTTTTTGGCTGCATCACGTAGCTTGAGGGAGCCTATTTCTCTAGTCAGGGAATCAGGGACTGAACTCATGCCCTCAGCAGTGTGTGAAGTCCTAACCACTGGACCAAGAGGGAATTTCCCTGAATCAATTATTCTGTGGTTGCAAAATATTGAGAAATCTTCTAATCTCTCCCTCCCTCCTATCACAATGGACTCAAGGATTTTCATTCAATGTATTATGATTGCACTCATTATTTTTGATGTTCAAATCATCCCAAATTTGGCTAGTACAAGCCCCCCTAAGTTGACCTCTGTGTCTCTCTGACATAATTCCAGTAGCCTTTAGGCCCTTCCAATGTTCATGCTTCCATTAGATTACAGAGCAGTTCTCGAACTGGGAAGTGTCAGGGATATTCAAATTTTCAACAACCCAAAACCAAACACTTTGTGTTAACATGTAAAATGGAGTTTAGACTTAAGATGCATTTTTCACACACAAACATCTGATGTTTGGAAGTCAGTGGGGCAGTCTCAGGCATTATAATACATCCAGCACTACCCCCATCTATTGTCAGAGGCCCACAAATTTTCAAACTGCCTTTTGGCTAAGTCACTGACATAATGAGGATGTAATTGTTAAAAGAACAAGGTAGTGCCATCTCCAGAATAGCCTCAACTAGACTTTTAGGTGGGAAAAAAAAAGAGCAGTAGAATACAATATAACATATACTGTTGTGACTAGGCTAAGTCATGTCTGACTCTTTTGTGACTTCAAGGACTGTAGCCCACCAGACTTCTCTGTCAATGGGACTTCCAAGGCAAGGATACTGGAGTGGGTAGCCATTTCGTCCTCCAGGGAATCTTCCTGACTGGGGACCAAACCCGTCTCCTGCATTGGCAAGCGGATTCTTAATCACTGAGCCATCAGGGAAGCCCTATAACATGCTAGTTTTTGTAAAAAAGCAGAATAAAGTATCTCTGTGCTTTTACATACCCTTCGGAGAATACAGAAAAATGTCTTCCAGTGGGTGTCTTTGGGTAGAGGGTTAAAGGACTATGGGCAGAGAGGACTCTCATCACACATTCCTTTTACCTGTACTAAATATTTAAAATTTCAAAAACATTAATTTTAAAACTATAGTACAGTTTGTCCTCCGTATCCACAGGTTTTATGTCTACAGATTCAACCAATCATGGATCAAAAATATTCAGGAGGGAGCTTCCCTGGTAATCCACTGGCTAAGAATTCACCTGCCAATGCAGGGGACATGGGTTCAATCCCTTGTCTAGGACAATTCATGTTGAGGGGCAACTAAGCTTGTGCATAACTACTGAATCTACATGCCCTAGAGCCTGTGCTCCACAAGAGAAGCCATACAATGAGAAGCGTGCACACAACTAGAGAGTAGCCCCAACCCTCCAGAACAAGAGAAAGTGTGCCCTCAGCAGTGAAGACCCAGCATAACCAAAAATTAAAAAAAAAATATTGGAGGGACTTAACTGGTGTCCAGCAGTTAACACTTTGCTCTTCCAACGCAGTGGGCCCAGGTTCCATCCCTGGTCAGAAAACTAGATCCCACATGCTGCAAATAAGACCTGCTGTGACCAAATTAAAAAATAATATTGGAGAAAAATATTCCAGAAATTTCCAGAAAAACTTGAACTTGCCATGCACTGACAACTATTTACAGAACATTTACACTGTATTTACAACTATATATAGTATTCACAGTGTTTTAGGTAGTATAAGTAATCCAGACACGAGTTAATGTATCTGGGAGGATGGTCCAATCTTGTGTGCAAGTGTTATACCATTTTATATAACAAATTTGAGCATCTTGTGGATCGAGTATCCGAGAGGTCTTGGAACCAATCCTGCATGGATTCTGAAGTATGACCAAATTTGGCTCACTTCAAATTGTTTATTATTGGGACTCCCCTGGCAGTTCAGTGGTTAAGACTCCATGCTCCCAAAGCAGGGGGCTCAGGGTCCATCCCCAGGTCAGGGAACTAAGATCCTGCATGTCACTCAGTGTCAGGGAAAAAAAAAATACACACATATAAAAAAACATAAAACATAAAACATACACACACATACAAACCCTTCCTAGTTACCTGTGACGGTACAACAGATGAAATATGATGGCTGGGACACACAAGCCAGTAGGAGGAAGTGGTGTATAGATGCAGCAAGATGGACCAAACGTGAGGCTGTGGCCCAATTGCTCTAGTTTTCTTCCATTAGAAAACAAAAATACAATCCTGGGGAACACAGTACATAGCAAATAATTACATTACCAAAATTTGAAGCAATTCTCTAGAGAACTCTAGTAAAACTAGTAATTCTGTTAAGATTATTTTGCCTTCTTTTCTATTGCTACTTTGGCTTCTAAAAACTATAAAACTTCATACATGGATAATTATAGATCGTCTCAATATAGAAGCTTCTTCAAAATATGTGCCAAGATTCAGTAAAATCCACACTTAGAGACAATCCTATAGAACTTTCTTCAAAGATTAAATTTTAAGGAAAAAAGAAGAGAAACCAATAAAGAGAAACTTAAGAGCAATCAGTAAAATGGACGACATAGTGTATGGATCCTGATTCAAACAAACCAATTGTAAAATTAGGAAACAATCAGGAATATTTGAATACTGACTGGATATTTGCTATGAAGTCTTAGCTGTCTTAAAATAACGGTATTGTAGTTATAGTCTAAAAAGTACCCCTTCTTTAGCAACACATACTTAAGTATGTAGATAGGAAAATTAATCACACCTGGAACAGGATTCAAACTAATCAACTAACTTGAGGGCTCAGAAGGGATATAGGTAAAACAAAACTGACCACAGGATAACTGCTGAAGTTGGAGGATGAGTACACGGGGGTTCATCATACTATTCTCTTTATTTTTGAAAACTTCCATTATAAAATAAGTTTTTAAAAATGAGAATTTTGTACTGATACTGTTATATTAGAAAACATTTAAGAAGTTCCATTGTCAATGAAGACTTCCAGGCAGAAAAAATATAATTTCCTGATGGACCATTAACTGGTACATTAACTTAAATCTTACAATAGTTACTTAGATTAGAAACTGACAAAAATAATTTTTAAAATATTGTACAAATTACTGAATGTTACTGTACCAATAAAAGATCACTAAAAGCTGGAATTTTAAGCCAAAAGCAGACAGCTTTCATAACCTTCAATTCTAGGTTTAAGAGTGTGGGTTCTGGAGTCAGCCAAATCTAGGTTTGTATCCTAGTTCTGCCTTTTTCTACCTACTAGATAAATGTTTTCTGGCAAACCATATAACTTCTGTGAGCCTCAGCCTCCATACCTTTAAGATGGGGGTAATAAAATTTCATCAGTAAAGCACTTAGTGCAGAACCTGCCACATAGTAAGTGCTCATTAAGTAATTCAAATAATTTCATTCTTGTATTTCATTAGTTCTTAGACATGTTTTTATATTCTAAGATCTCTGAAATTTGGATGCAACTTATAATTGATGACATATCATGGTTTAATTAGCAGTTTTTCTTTAGTGGTATGTAAAACAATTGTTACATACTACAAATAGGTAGCATCTAAGATCCAATATAATATGGTATCAACCATGACAGAAGTTGATTCCCAATTTATTTTTCTGAATATATAACCAATTTAAAATTTTAAAAATTTCAAAGGACGAGAAAAATATTTCCAACACAGCACAAACAGAACAGTTTTGAGACAAGCTATTTTTTTTAAAAAATGGTTTTTATCAATTCCATTTTTGTATAAAACACATGGGAGAAACCTAGCCAATCAACACAACTGTTGCCACATGAAAAGGTACTTTTATCAAACTTCGAGTCTAAGAACGTACAAATGTTTCTTTTATCATGTCTACAGTAATTGTCTATGGTTTTCCATTTAACTGTTTTAAAAATTCCACATAACCCCATTATCTCTTCTGTCCCGTTACAGTACAATGACAGGGAGGAAGAGGGTTGGTTGAAACAACTCTCTAAGCAGTTTTCTGCTGTCCCTTCTTTCCAATCAGAGACTTGTGGATGTGAGGGATCACTCCTGGAATGAAATGAAATGAAATTGTATTAGCCGAAAAACTTGATCAGTTCAGGTCCTCAATCCCAAAGAGCAATTCACAAAGAATGAAGGTTTTTTTTAAACTGAAGGATAACTGCCTCACAACGCCGTGCTGGTTTCTGCTGTACACAGCGTGAATCAGCTCTACGTATACACATGTCCCCTCCCTCTGGAGTCTCCCTCCCACTCCGCTAGGTCATCACAGTGCCCGGAGCTGAGTTCCCTGTGCTACACAGCAGTTTCCCGCTACTTATCTATTTTACACGTGATGTATACACACGTGTATACATCAATGTTACTTTCTCAGTTCCTCCCATGCTCTCCTTCCCCCCACTGTGTTCACAAATCCATTCTCTATGTCTGAATCTTTATTCCTGCCCTGCAAATAGGCTTATCAGTAACATTTTTCTAGATTCCATACATACGTGTTAATATACGGTATTTGTTTTTCTCTTAGAATGAAGTTTACCTAAATATCTATACCAAGGGATCTCCATCTTGGGGTCTGGGAACCCCCTCTAAAGCTGTACATAAAATGGTGTGATTTTATGCGTTTTTTTTGAGAAGAGTAACCATAGCTTTCAAGAGGTTCTCCAAATATAATTCAAAAAGGATGAAGAACCACCAACTTATATCTCACCTTCACTGATTCTGACTCATTCAGTTACCCTCAGTCTGACTTTCAAGAGCATCACCTTATGCAATTTCTCAAGATGATTTTTTTCAAACAGTTTAAAGGATACAGGAAATATTTCAAATGCTTGGACTCAAATCTCATCTACGAAATTTAGCTGAAGAACCGCCTTTTTTTTTTTTTTCACTTTCTTTTTTTTTTTTTCCCATTTATTTTTATTAGTTGGAGGCTAATTACTTTACATCATTGCAGTGGTTTTTGTCATACATTGAAATGAATTAGCCATGGATTTACATGTATTCCCCATCCCGGTCCCCCCTCCCACCTCCCTCTCCACCCGATCCCTCTGGGTCTTCCCAGTGCACCAGGCCCGAGCACTTGTCTCATGCACCCAACCTGGGCTGGTGATCTGTTTCACCCTAGATAATATACGTGTTTCGATGCTGAAGAACCGCCTTTTAAAAACAGCATTGTATGTGGAGAAGAAATATTTATTCAGATCATAATGAGAAGCCTAGAATAGTAAGAGACTTAACACTTTCAGAATTGAACTTTCTATGTTCTCGGTACTGGATCACTGATCTGAATTATGTATTAGTCATAACAGTCTATGTTGAAGAGTAGATAATACATACCACCCCCAGCTATGGTAGCTTTGATAAGAGAATCCAACTCTTCATCACCACGGATTGCAAGCTGCAAGTGGCGTGGAGTGATCCGCTTAACTTTGAGATCCTTGGATGCATTACCTGCCAGCTCCAGCACCTACAAAGCATCCATGAGATAGCATATCAAACAAGGGTGAAGTGTTTAAGGATTCTGTTTAGACTTGCAATTATAGCTAAACGATCACTATAGCATCTACAAATAAAACACAAAAGATACATAAATAAACCAAGAATAATTTGTTTCCAAATTTCTACAGTAAGATTACAGAACTCTTAGTACTTCATTTGGTCCTTTTATATTAATTCTCTGCAAAATAACTAGAAACTTGAGCAAAAATCAATTTCTATAGCAAGAAATAAGTGCTGTTATCCCTTACCAAGATTCTAATTGTGAACATCTAGAAAACGAATATATTTTAATATACCTGTGTAGTCTAATTTTTTATAGCCCTTAACAGCTGGAATTTATTGCTTATGACTTGTAGAAAAGTTTAAAAGTATAAAGATAATTCCTTATTCAGAATTTCTAACACCGCTGGGCTTTATAATATGTAGGCAGTATGCCAGAAGCCCTTTATTCTATAATGGGAATTTTCAGCAAAAGTAATTTCAAAGTCCCAGCTGGCCATAAAACTTCATTTTCCTTTTCACCTCCTAGACTGTACTGGTACTATAAAACTTTTGATGGAAACAATACAAAACTAACTCCACAGAGGCTCCTGATTTAAGTAAGAGTGATGGAAAGCCTTGGTATACATCTGGTGCAATCAGTATGCTTTATAAACCACCAGTACTCTCTACTCCTCTGCAACTCTGAGTGGACTGAGGTGAGGTCAGGCACCACCATCTTTTGAAAGCTTTTCCAAGTGATCCCAGGTGTGAAGTGAACATTGAAAAGTTAATTACCTCCAACTTAGATTTCAGTATTTCCTTTACTTCTATTAAGGACTAAAACCCCAAACTTAGGATACTGAAAGATACGTGTTGCTTACGTATGTATGTATGCATGCTTGTGTGCGTGTGTGTGTGAGATTGTGTATATTTGTTTTATTATTTAATCTTAACCTAAGAAGTCGTAATCAAAGTTCCTAAGAATAAAAAAAATGGGAGTTCAGATGGGACTTGAACATTCTGGAGCAGAAGCCTGTATCTTCACATGAGTGAAAAAAATGCATACCTTTCTGAAAAGCCTGCAGCTAAATAAATGTTAATAAAAACTGATATAAAAAGTGATAGAGGAGAAAGACTCCTAACTAGTACGAACAAAAATGTTACCAACACAAAAATCCTCCTTGTGACACAATAAAGTTGAAACTATCAATGTTAAAGTAATGTTAAATCTCCAATGGGAAAACAAATGATTTGGTAAAGTTAATGAAATGACAGCAGTGATAATTAACACACAGGTTAAACCTAAACCTTTCAACCTAGCTCCCAAGCACATCTTTCCCAAGTAAGAATCTTCCCCTTGCTTCTACTAGACTGGCTAACTCTATCACTTGACTTGCTTGCTACTCAAATTACTCTCCTGATTTGGAATGCAGTTAAAGGAGGCTCATGATGTCCCTTTTGTTTTCCTTAGGAGGATTACTATGGAGGAAGTGATGGTCCATGAATTAACAACTTTTGCCCAAATAACTTATCTAATTTCCTGAAAAGTCAAACTGAGGTAAGATACAGCATTTTATGTGTATAACCACACAGAGCACCAGGACTGATTAGGTCTTTTACCAAATTTCATGTCATCATATCATTATAATAGAGTTGTGATGGACTTCCTTGGCAGTCCAGTGCTGAAGAATCCACCTGCCAATGCAAGGGACATGTGTTTGATATCTGGTCTGGCAAGATTCCATATGCTGTGAAACAACCAAGTCCACGTGCCCTAACTACTGAAGATTGTGCACCCTAGAGCCCATGCTCCACAACAAAAGAAGCCAATGCAATGAGAAGCCTATGTACTGCAATGAAGATCCAGTGTAGCCAAATTAATAATATAGTATAACATTAAAAAAATGTATGATGACACGGGTTAAAACTTTACCCCACTTCAAATTTTTATTAACTAAGAGTTATCCTGTAACTTCACAATACCACTTTTTTTTTTGGCCATGATGCGCAGCATTTGGGAATCTTTCCTGACCTGGGATCGGACCTCCCTGCAGGGGGCTGCAGTCTTAACCAATGGACAGACCATCAGTGAAGTCCACAAATATCACCTACTGCTTATATACATAGTCCAGAATTTGTTTACTTAACAGTATGGTATTTAAATTATTTTATACTTGTTTGTCAAGTCACTTAAAAATATGGATTACTGACCCTCAGTTCAGGCTTCCCTGGTAGCTCAGCTGGTACAGTTCAGTCACTCAGTCATGTCCAAATCTTTGCGACTCCATGGACTGCAGCACGCCAGGATTCCCTGTCCATCACCAACTCCTGGAGCTTGCTCAAACTCATGTCCATTGAGTCTGTGATACCATCAAACCATCTCATTCTCTGTTGTCCCCTTCTCCCGCCTTCAATCTTTCCCAGCAACAGGGTCTTTTCCAATGAGTCAGTTCTTCACATCAGGTGGCCAAACTACTGGAGTTGCAGCATCAGTCCTTCCAATGAATATTCAGGATCGATTTCCTTTAGGATTGACTGGCTTGCTCCTTGCAGTCCAAGAGACTCTCAAGAGTCTTCTCCAACACCACACTTCAAAAGCATCAGTTTGTTGGTGCTCAGCTTTAAGGTCCAACTCTCACATACATACATGACTACAGGAAAAACCACAGTTTTGACTAGGTGAACCTTTGTTGGCAAAGAAATGTCTCTGCTTTTTAATATGCTGTCTAGGTTAGTCATAGCTTTTCTTCCAAGGAATAAGCGTCTTTTAATTTCATGGCTGCAGTCACCATCTGCAGTGATTTTGGAGCCCCCTGAAATAAAGTCTCTCACTGTTTCCATTGTTTCTCCAACTATTTACCATGAAGTGATGGGATCGGATATCATGATTTTAGTTTGAATGTTGAGTTTTAAGCCAGCTTTTCACTCTTCTCTTTCACTTTCATTAACAGGCTTTTTAGTTCTTCTCTTTCTGCCATAAGGGTGGTGTCATCTGCATATCTGAGGTTATTGATATTTCTCCCGGCAATCTTGACTCCAGCTTGTGCTTCTTCCAGTCAGGCATTTCACAGGATGTACTCTGCATATAAATTAAATAAGCAGAGTGACAATATACAGCCTTGACGTACTCCTTTCCCACTTTGGAACCAGTCCGTTGTTCCATGTACGTTCTAACTGTGGCTTCTTGACCTGAATACAGATTTCTCAGGAGGCAGGTCAGATGGTCTGGTACTCCCATCTCTTGAAGAATTTCCCACAGTTTGCTGTGATCCACACAAAGACTTAGCATAGTCAATGAAACAGAGGAAGCTGTTTTTCTGGAACGCTCTTGCTTTTTCTATGATCCAGCAGATGTTGGCAATTTGATCTCTGGTTCCTCTGCCTTTTCTAAATCCAGCTTGAACATCTGGAAGTTCACGGTTCACGTATTTGTTGAAGCCTGGCTTGGAGAATTTTGAGCATTCCTTTGCTAGCGTGTGAGATGAGTGCAATTGTGCGGTAGTTTGAGCATTCTTCGGCACTGCCTTTCTTTGGGACTGGAATGAAAACTGACCTTTTCCAGTCCTGTGGCCACTGCTCAGTTTTCCAAATTTGCTGGCATATTGAGTGCAGCACTTTCACAGCATCCTCTTTTAGGATTTGAAATAGCTCAGCTGGAATTCCATCACCTCCACTAGCTTTGTTCATAGTAATGCTTCCTAAGGCCCACTTGACTTCAGGATGTCTGGCTCTAGGTGAGTGATCACACCATTGTGGTTATCTGGGTCATTAAGATCTTTTTTGTATAGTTCTTCTGTGCATTCTTGACACCTCTTTTTAATATCTTTTGCTTCTGTTAGGTCCATACCATTTCTGTCCTTTATTGTCCTAACTTTAAAAGTGAGCACATCAAAGTTGTTTGACACTAGTACTGGCTGATAAGATCCATCTAAAAACCACTATAAAAAGAAACTAACAAGAGTGAGTCTTTTTGTTTCAAACCCATATTCCATGGGTTTCAGCCATTTATGTCTAGGACAACTCTGGGATTCCAACACATAATTATTTTCACCACTAACCTCAGCGGTGAGGTACTCCAGAATCGCAGCACTATACACTGCAGCAGTGGCACCGACCCTTCCGTGGCTCGTGGTACGAGTCTTCAAATGTCTATGGATGCGGCCCACAGGAAACTGAAAGAGACAGCATCCAAATGGGAAACACTAAAGTTTTAACATCACATTACTGAACATAATGAACAGCTGAATGACAAAGTAAATCAAGATAAAAAATTTGGTTACACTTATTAGAAGCCAAAATTATTTACCAATTAACACTTCTTTGGGCTTGTAAGTTAATATGTCCTAGTACTTAGCCCCAAATGGTCATGCCTAATTTTACACCCCCTGAAGACAGAATTTAAAAACAAACAAAACCACTCAGGGTTTTGCAAATTAATTCCTGCATAATACGGAGTCATTATACAATAAAGAGAAACTATGCAGTATAGTCACCAACTGCACATTCCACAGGGCCTAATAACCGTATTCCTATTTATTTAATTCCTTCACATAACAGGCTCATGTGACTATGAACCTCTACCACCTTCTTTAGGCCCCAACTTCATTCTTCCTTCCTCAATTTCAAGAGGTAACGTGATAGTTAACAAAACCAACACTGTGACTTCCTACTTTCTGAGAATAGGTCCTTTCTCATTTCTACAGTACCGTAATCCCACTTGTCTGCCTCTGACTACACCCACCCCCCCTCCCCCGACTCTAAGGACCTTCCTCATCCTGTTACTGCTCCATCATTCAACAACTCAATCACCTCCTTTTCGCTGGCTCCTTTCCTTCTGCACAGTTCAAAGGTCTCTACACATCTAGTCTACAGCAACTGCCTCTAGTTACAGTCTAGACATCCCTTTCCAAAGGCAAAATTTAGAAGTAAACTTAAACCTCTTTCTTGTCACCCATTTTCTCCCAATCCAAACTTGGCTTCTGTTAAACACCATTCTTAAAGATCAGCAATAACATTTTAATTACCAAATCTACTAGCCACTTCCAGATTGCATCCTTCAGAAGAAAATGCATGACTGTTCTATTTACATTCCTTCCCTAATTCTAAGGTCCCCCAGACCAGAATCCATGCCTTACTCCCTTTTAGATCCTCAGTGATTAACATGTTGTTTGACACAGAGGACCTCGAAAACCATTCTTCTCAGGCCACAGCGATTACACAGTTCTAACACTAACTCTGACGACTACTCAGTTTTTATTGACTCAGATATGTCAAATATGGTGAGGAGTCCACCAACGTCTTTTTGTTCTTTTCTCAAGCACTACTGAGGAAACTCATCCCTGCACAAACTACCAATTTTACTTAAGTGATTTTAAATTTGTAATTCTTGTGATCACTTCTCTTGGAAAGCTAGACTCAAATCTACAACTTTTGGATATTTTCACATGGATGTTTTAGTGGAACTTCCAAAGGATTCCACTTAAATTTTTATTTCATAACTTGCTTACTACAAACTCCCCTTAGAGAAACTTCTGACCTTCCTCTCAAACCTATACCTCTCCTCTCATTTTTTAGGAGCATACATATGCCTTCTATTCTTTTCCATCCCACTCAAGTCCAACTTGGAGAAGGAAACGGCAACCCACTCCAGTACTCTTGCCTGGAAAATTCCATGGATGGAGTAACCTAGTAGGCTACAGTCCATGGGGTCGCAAGGAGTCGGACACAACTGAGCGACTTCACTTTCTTTCTATAGTTCCTTTTGGAGAAGGAAATGGCAACCCACTCTAGTGTTCTTGCCTGGAGAATCCCATGGACAGAAGGGCCTGGTGGGCTACAGTCTATGGGGTTGCAAAGAGTCAGACATGACTAAGCAACTAACACACACACACAAGTTCAAGTATGCGTTCCCTTATTCCTAAACCACTGCAATAACCTGTAATCTGTCTTCCATCTCCCACTTCAAGGTAACGGTACTTCAAATAAATTCCACTTGGTTTTTTTTTTTTGGCTATGCAGCTTGCAGGATCTTAGTTCCTCAACCAGGGATCAAATCTGGGCTCTTTGCAGTGAGAGTACCAATTCCTAACCACTGGACTGCCAGGGAATTCCCTCGAATAAATTCTAATTGATATTTGCAAGATGTTCTAAAATAGAGAAAGTACCCATAAAGGGTAAGTTCTCGCCCCCCCACTTCCTTCAGTACCATTCGAATCATGTCATCTTCGTCCTTAAAAATTTTCCATCACTACCTTATAGTCTGGCCTTCAAACTTTCCTGTTTAAAAAATATCTCTTACATGTAGGCAATTAATTCTTACTCATCCAGAAAAATCTGAGTTTATGGATTAAAGTTGCAGCAATTCATATATAGAAAATTTGAAACTATCTAGTGTTCTTGAGTATATATAACTCAGTCTACATTTGAAGGTATTGGGGAAAGACTTAGAGGACTAGTGGACAGTCCATTCTTCTATTTCATCCTGAAAGCTGATATACCACTACAAACACCTTCTTCAAAATAAAAGCCACAGCATACTCACTTCAATATGATAGTTTATAAAAGAACTAGGAACATAATTATAATCTAGAAATAACAGATTTTAAGACAGCAAAATCACCAAAATTTGCGTAAGATGTTTTCCTAACTTGCTGTTGCTTAGAAGAGACTACAAATTAAAAGGCAGTTGCTTTGTGGTTTATATTCTGACCAATTAATTTCACTATCAAAGGTCAATAGTACATTTTTGTAATTAAAGAAACATTTGAGTCACGAGTTACAACTGTTAAGAAATTAATTTAATAATGAATTGGTTACCTGTAGCCCAGCTCTCTGTGAGCGAGACACTGCCTTGGCCTTGGCCTTTCCACTGTCCTTTCCAGCTTTGCCTCCAGCCTAAGTGAAAAAAGTTCCAGATGAAGAATCAAAAATGCTATTTCAAAAATATCTAGGAAACAAAATTTCTTCTATTGGTAGTTAAAAAAAATTTTGCTTTCAATTTTAAATATACATGTCATATTGCCATTTATTAAATTATATAAAGATGAGATCAAAACTTATTTAAAACTTATTTAAAATGAGATTTCTAAAAGTTTGAACATATTTTTCAAATTTCAGACTGAAGAATATTCATCATCAATATAACGCTTATGTTAGAAATAGTTCATAATAAAATAATTTTTTTAAATGTGAGCATCTATCATTTCCATAGAAATATTCAGAACTTACCTTTTTTGAGAGGAAAAAAATACCATCTTAAGAAAAAAAAAACCCCTCAAAAAATTAAACACGCAATTAACTTATGTTCTAGCACTTCTAGGCACATACTCAATAATTGAGAACAGGGACTCAAACAGATATTTTTTATACTATTTTTTTTTTTTTTTTACTATTTGCTATTTTATTCACAGCAGTATTATAAATAGCAGCTGAAAAGCAGAAACAACCTAAATTTCCATCATGGAAAATTGTGGTATATACTGTAAAAATGAAGGAAATTCTGATACATGCTACCGCACGGATAAATCTAAGACATGATGCTAAGTGAAATAAGCCAGTTGCCAAAGGACCATATATGTCTGATTCCACTTAACATGAGCTACCTAGTCAAAGTCACAGGAACAGAAAGCATAAGGTGGCTGCCAGAGGCTGGGAAGAGGATAGAATAGATGCCTTGGCAGGCATTTAAAAAACGGCAAAACGGTCACTGTTATGTGCGTTAAAAAAAAAAAAGAAAAAGACATTCAAACTTATTCTTAAGGAGTTAAAAAAAACACTTTCAAATGATAGAAATGTTTCTGAAATAACCTGAATGTTCATAAATAGGACACAGTACATAAATGCAATGGAATATTATGCAGCCATTTCAACAAATGAATTATATAGAGATGTGCTGATATGGAAGAAATCACAATACATATTTGTGTAAAAGGCAAGGTATGTACAAGCGCAGTGAGCTTTTGTTTATGTAAAAATGAGGTACTGCAGAGTGTGTGTATAACATACATTTCTAGAAGGTCACACAACACACCAGAAAAGTTATTTGCCGCTAGGGAGGGAACACTAAGGATATGACTTGAGAAGGAAACCAACATTCCCTTTTGAACTGCTCTACTTTACTATTTAAATCTATTTCTTGTCTGTTAAAAAAATAAAATAAAAAATCAGTTTACAAAACTGGCCAGTTGTTTGAGGGTATTTGTGAAGCAGAAATGGCATATCCCTTTGTAATGCTTTATTTTTTAGACTAAAAATCAACTATGTATGCCCCATACCTCATGTCTCAGCAGAGCCAATGTTTTCTCTCTCAAATCTATATTCAAGGGAAAAAAAAAAAAGGCCTCGGCAGGTGTTAGGAGCAGGAACAAAAAATTAATAACTAATTAGTATCTTTCTTAAATAATCTAGCAAGACAGACTGATTTAAGTTTAACGAAGAGAACTGAGACTCTTTAGATTTCTACAAGAATGCCTCACATATTTTTAATAATTTCTGACCATACTGCTATACAAGAAAAAGATACTGCATCATCTTTGGATTTTTGAGGTCAGTTCAAGTAACCATGTGTTTTCACTTATTCTTCAAATCAGTCTTTTCAGCTCTATTTGCCCTGATGTAAAACATAAGAAACATCTAAAATAGTGCATGAGGCTAAAACTATAATCATTATTTCTCTATGACTGAATTATGGAATACATAGTTATCAGTAAAAAGTTATTAACTGCAAAACTCCTCAGGTTTCCCAATTTACTTAAGCAATTTTATCCCTACTGTTTCAAATCCATTACGTTTGCTGTTTAACCTATTTGTTTTTTAAGGAAGTAGGCAGGAAATCAGTTTTTAAAAATCTCAGTAAATTAAATGACTATTTCCGTGGCTTGGAGAGTCCAGATACATTTTTTATGCTTAAGAAAAACAAAACTTTATGGAATTAAACTTGTGAATATAAAATTGCATAGTAAATGAATATTTTCTTTTCACAACCTCCTCAAAGTCTGTATACACACCCTCCCAACTTCGCACAATCATTTTAATACGTTTGCTGAGAAACAAAATACAAGCACGATAAAAGTTTTTATTCTAAAAACTGAGTTAGTATTAACCTGGGCTAAGCATCTCCGGGTAGAAAATATGCCAATGGAGTATATTTCATTCAGAAAAAGTTGCAAACTGGATGTCAAGCAAGCTGCAAATTTGTTTAACAGACACATGTTCACGTCCCATCACGTTTAAAAATTTCAAAACGAGAATGACAACTCCACGCCTCCTGTATTTTTAGCCATGCGAACGTGTATGTATTTTTAGCTGCTGGTAAAGATTCAACCAATATATGGTAGGTTGCTAGAGATTAAACGAGTGACACCTTTTGAAATCAGCAAGCATCACGAGAATTGTCGGCTCGAGCAAATCAGTTTACAGGGCAGATGTAATCTATGCCAGAGTCTGCCTGTGAAAGCGCTTCCGTTATCTGCACAACTACAAGTTACAGAGCCCGGGTGCTACCATCCACAAGGTCGACTCCAGATCTAAGACGCGAGAACGTCACAATAACCACAGTTTCTGTTTGTGGTTCAGCCCCGGGCAGGGCTGTCTCCGGAGGGCGCTCGGGAGGACACCACTCGTCGCCTCGGCTTTGCTGCTTCACTCCTGCGCGGGGCACGGCCCCCCTCGAACGCCTTTCCCTCTCAACTTCACAAGGAGCCCAGTTCCCTCCATTCGCGTTTCTAAAAAGCCGGACTTTTGTCACCGACGCACAATTTAGGACTCAAAGTCAGTCGCAGGAGCAGCGGAGGTGCTGTGGAGCCGCGAGGGTTGTCCTGCTCAGGGACACCCGGCCTCAGCCCGCGCACCTCGATTCGCGCCGGCGCCGCGGCGAGCGAGGCCGGGACCGCTGGCAGCCTGGCCGCCTGACGCCCGCCCCACCGATGTCGTCGCCGCCTGACGCCCGCCGCCTCAACAGGTACCGGCGCCACTCGACCATCGCCGCCCTCCCGGCCGCCCCGCAGCCCTCACCATGGTCTCGGCCGCTCGTGCCCTCGGTCCCGCCGAGCCGCCGCCGCCGCTAGTGCAGCACCGACCGCCGTTGCCGCCGCGGCCGCCAGAGCCCGGACAATAACCGGGGCCCGCCTCGCGCTGCCCCGGCCAATGCCCGCTCGCCTTGCTCGTTTGAACCCCCGCTGCTGCCCAATCGCGCGCTTCCTTCTAACAAAGCCCCGCCCCTCAGCCCCTCCTCCCTAACGGCTGTTTAGTTTTTGCACACGGCACGCGGAGGCGGAGCCTCCTACTCCAACACAGACGCGCCTGTGCGCGATTGGGGGCGGAGCCAAACGCCGTTCTCCGCCTGTCTACAAGGCCCAACCTGACGAACGGAGGAGCTGACCAATGAGAGCTGCAGGCTGGCGGAAATCAGCCGATGAGAACATCGCCCGCGAGCAAGGGAGGCGGACCTTTGGGAAAGACAGCGCGATTGGCCAATGGGTGGGCAGATTGGTGGCTGCGCTGGCTTTCCCGCTCTTTCTCAGCGTCGACTCTAGGCTTTCTGAGACCTGTTTGGGAAGGAAACGGTCCTGTTCGTTGCTTCTCCTCGTGGTTTTTTCACAGATTCCGAGGATTTCTCTGTGCTAGCGGGGACTCGCTCCGTGGTGGGCACTGTTTCCAGGCCTGGCAGCCCTTCTCCGCAGCGCCTTCCCGCTGGCCTTAGGTTAGCCGCTCATTGCAAAGGGAGAGAAATTCGGAAATGAGGATGGAGTCCCCACGCCCGCTGCGAAGCTGAGGGACCGGCGCGAAGCAGGGCTTTCTCACTTGTCAGCCTACGGCTGCTCCCCACCCCCCGCAACTCCGGCAGCCCCTAGGCGGTGTGCTGGCCCGATCGTCCCCTGGGCTGCATCGCTCCTGGTCGCCGGGTCCCAGGCCCAGGCTCCGGGCCAATTCTTACCCGCTGCAGTTAGGAACCTTTGCTTCTTTTCACAGTTGTCTGCGTTGACCGCGCCGGGCAGTGTTCCGGGGGTGTGGAGCCGGTGGTCCCCGCTGAGATTGAGTTCTGGCGGGATTTACCCAGGCGGGAATTTCAGAAGTATACCAGATGGGCAGATCCTATCCCAAAGTGAGAATTCTCTTCTGACATGGAGAAGTAACATGGGGGATGGGGGGGACCCATGAGTCTCTAAGGAAATGTAACTTCCTCTCTTCCAGGAGAGGAAAAGGGTGAGCTTCTACATAAGACTTTGGAAAAATGTGAGTGAACGTCTTTGGAAACATGTGAGTGAAAGTGTAGATGAACCTGAGGAAGGAGGTGCCTGAAGGCACTTTGTGACTCCATGAACTGCAGCATGCCAGGCTTTCCTGTCCTTCACTATCTTCCTGAGCTTGGTTAAACTCATGTCCATTTAGTCAATGATGCCATTCAACCATCTCACCCTCTGTCGTCCACTTATCTTCATAAGGTATAATTTAGCAGTGTTCTGCGAAGAAGAAAGAGCAAGTGTAAAGGTTCTTGAGGTGAAAAAGAATTGTCACAATGAAGGGACTTTAAAAGCAAACTGGTGTGGCTGTTGCAATTCTGTCCAGATGCCTCTACTTCCTGAATATCAAATCAGGCATTTCCCCCGCTCTGTGTATTAACACTGATTTAGTTTAGCATTTGTCGTTTTTCACCTTAATAGTGCAAAAATCTCTTAACAAATGTCCTATCCTTTTCTTCCTTCACTTCACTCTTTCTAAAATACAATTCTTGATATATTTTTCTGTAACCTCATTGACTTTAGAACAAACTCCAGATCCTTAGCATGGTGTAAAAACCCTACATTTTCTGGCTTCTGCTCATCTCAGGTTTTGTTTCTTCTCCTTACTACCCCTGAAACTCAATCTTGCCCTTGCTCATGCCTTTGCTTGGAACATTCCTCCATCTTAGCTTCTTTTTGGCTAACTTTTACCATCCTTCAAGGGTCAACCCAAATATCACTTTCTTCAGTATGCCTTCCTTGACAGCCCTGATTTGGATGCCTTGTATCACCTAGTGTATTCTGCTATCATCAGTCCTTGTCATGCTCAATTGTGTTGATCTCCCTTGGTTGTCACTCTGCTTGGTACAGTACTTAGTACCCTGAAAATGTCACTTGGCAAATGAAAAGAAACAGTACTAACTCAGTTTTAGATAGGCAGTGTGGTCTGTGGAAAGATTTGAGTTTGAATCCAAACTCCTTACTTACTAGTTGTGTGACCTGGGTGAGGGATTTAATATTATCTATTTTGTCATTTGTAAAACTGAGAATAGCAAAACCTATTTTACAGGTTGTGAATGAATACTAATTCAACGATATATAAAAATGGACTTTCAGTTCAGTTAAGTTCAGTCGCTCAGTCGTATCCGACTCTTTGCGACCCCATGAATCATAGCATGCCAGGCCTCCCTGTCCATCACCAACTCCTGGAGTTTACTCAAACTCATGTCCATTGAGTCGGTGATGCCATCCAGCCATCTCATCCTCTGTCATCCCCTTCTCCTCCTGCCCCCAATCTCTCCCAGCATCAGGGTCTTTTCCAATGAGTCAACTCTTCGCATGAGGTGGCCAAAGTATTGGAATTTCAGCTTCAGCATCAGTCCTTCCAATGAACACCCAGGACTGATCTCCTTTAGGATGGACTGGTTGTATCTCCTTGCAGTCCAAGGGACTCTCAAGAGTCTTCACCACCACAGTTCAAAAGCATCAATTCTTTGGCGCTCAGCTTTCTTTATCCAATTCTCACATCCATACATGACCACTGGAAAAACCATAGCCTTGACTAGACAGACCTTTGTTGGCAAAGTAATGTCTCTACTTTTTAATATTCTATCTAGGTTGGTCATAACTTTCCTTCCAAGGTGTAAGCGTCTTTTAATTTCATGGCTGCAGTCATCATCTGCAGTGATTTTGGAGCCCCCCAAAATAAAGTCTGACATTGTTTTCACTGTTTCCCCATCTATTTGCCATGAAGTGATGGGACCAGATGCCATGATCTTAGTTTTCTGAATATTGAGTTTTAAGCCAACTTTTTCACTCTCCTCTTTCACTTTCATTAACAGGCTTTTTAGTTTCTCTTCACTTTCTGTCATAAGGGTGGTGTCATCTGCATATTTGAGGTTATTGATATTTCTCCCAGCAATCTTGACTCCAGCTTGTGCTTCTTCTAGCCCAGCGTTTCTCATGATGTACTCTGCATATAAGTTAAATAAGCAGGGTGACAATATGCAGCCTTGACGTATTCCTTTTCCTATTTGGAACCAGTCTTTTGTTCCATGTCCAGTTCTAACTGTTGCTTCCTGACCTGCATACAGGTTTCTTAAGAGGCAGGTCAGGTGGTCTGGTATTCCCATCTCTTGAAGAATTTCCCACAGTTTGCTGTGATCCACACAGTCAAAGACTTTGGCATAGTCAATAAAGCAGAAATAGATGGTTTTTTGGAACTCTCTTGCTTTTTCTATGATCCAGCAGATGTTGGCAATTTGATCTCTGGTTCCTCTGCCTTTTCTAAAACCAGCTGGAACATCTGGAAGTTCATGGTGCACATATTGCCGAAGCCTAGCTTGGAGAATTTTGAGCATTACTTTACCAGTGTGTGAGATGAGTGCAATTGTGCAGTAGTTTGAGCATTCTTTGGCATTGCCTTTCTTAGGGATTGGAATGAAAACTGACCTTTTCCAGTCCTGTGGCCACTGCTGAGTTTTCCAAATTTGCTGGCATATTGAGTGCAGCAAATAGCCAGTAAATATTAATTTCTTTCCTTAACAGGAAGTTCATTTTCTCACTTGCCATTCTGCATTTCATTGATTCAGATTTTGATGAAGATGGAACCAGGTTGAAAGAAAGTGGTTCTCATCACGGACAATAGTAATCTCTTTAGTGATTTATACATCCTGTTTAGACATTAAAGAAATATATTGAAGCCTACAGACTTAAGGAAAATGGATGCAAGTTTTCTGACATCTGTAAACAGAAAAACTGCCTTTTTAAACTCTTTATGAAGCAAGTGTGTTAGTGAATAAAATCTAGTTTACAGTGAACTGGGGTTGCAAAGAAGGCAGTATTGACTCATAAGGAGCACATCTAACCAGAGAATCTTAAGTATTAACATCTATAAATTATAAACTACCAAACATTAACAAATTATTCACTTTTGCTAGATTTAACCCAGTAAGACACAGTGTGCTATTGTTGTTTAGTTGCTAAGTTGTGTCCAGCTCTGCGACCTATGGACTGTAGCCCACCAGGCTCCTCTGTCCATGGGATTTCCCAGGCAAGAATACTGGAGTGGGTTGCCATTTCCTCTTCCAGGGGAGCTTCCTGACCTAGGGATCAAACCCCCATCTCCTGCTTGGCACTGATCCACCTGGAAAGCCCCAGTATTGGTTCTCAAAATGTGATCCCTAAACAGCAGCATCGGTACCACCTAGAACTTGTGAGAAATGTAGATTCTGACCTCCAGCCTACACCTACTGAAACAGAAACTGCAGTGGGGCCCATCAAGCCCTTCAGGGGAATCTGGTGCGCACTAAAATGTGAGAGCCACTGGTATAGTATAAGCTATGGTCTGTAGTTCAGTGTTGACTGATTATTGCCCAGTAGTCTCCTCCGAGGAATTGCACTTGGTCAAAAGGAGCTGCAGCCTCTTAACCAAGTTTAACCCCTTTTCAGCAGGCAGCCTCCTTCCAAGGACTGGTGGAAGTGAGATAGCTGCCCAGCTGCTTTGCCTTAATTTGGGACAACTCTGAAGGGTCATTTCAGGTCCAGAATTTTCTGTGTGATTAACACCAGTGTTCGAACTGCATAGCAGTTCAACTTCTCCCTCTACTTAATCCTATTTCCTTCATTTTCTCATAGTAATATTGCCAAGTATATCACTGTGGAATCACAGTAAACTTCATGAAGGTAAATTAGAGTCTGGGGGTTGTTGTTTAGTCACTGAGTTGTGTTGGACTCTTGCGACCTCATGGACTGTAGCCTGCCAGGCTCCTCTCCATGGGATTTCCCAAGCAAGGATACTGGAGTGGGCTGCCATTTTCTTCTCCAAGGGATTATCCTGACCCGGGAATTAAATGCACATCTCCTGCATTGTAGGCAAATTCTGTACTAGTGAGCCACCCCAGTGAAGCCTCAGAGTCTGCTGGGAAGCCTGAGCTAAGACAATGGCTTCTCTGAAAAAATTTAGTTAGTTTTTGATAGGGCAATATATTCACATGTACAATATTTTAAAGATACAAAGGATATACAGTGAAAAGACTCTTCCCATCCCTTACCTAATTATCCATTTTACCTCTGCATAGGCAACCAGTGTTGTCAGTATAGTAAAAATATTTTAGCCTTTAGAGAGGAGGGTCTTAGAAATTAAAAACTCCTGGAGTCTATGTAATGATTATGTTTAATTTTAAATTCCCCTTTTACACTGCAGTATTCCCCCCAAATAATATAAAGCTGTTAAGAGACAGAAATTTTCTTTTAGTCACTCTAGTTATAGGACAAATTCTTTTTTTTTTTTTTAACTCTCAAGGGTTGCTTTATTTGGGAGAAAGGGTCTGTCCAGAGTTTCGAGCAACAAAGATCAACATTTTCTGTGTGATTAGTAAGGAGTTGAGTGAATTCTAATTATTCAAAGAACACAGAGCAGATTTAGTGGTTAAGAGTTCAGATTCAAATCCTTCAAAGGTTTTCTAGTGCCCACAAGTCACCTGGATCATGATCAACAGGCAAACTGGTTTATAGTACCATGCTCAACTCAGACCCTTTATGCTAATTAGGGAAGCACTCCCCTGAAGCAAAGGGCAGCAGTGATTCAATACTGAGCACTTATGTGTAAGAACTGTTGTAGGCAATCAGGATTTCATTTACACATTGTACAAAGACAGACTGTTGATCAAATCTAAATATTTTATTATATACTTACACCCCAAATTGTATTTTTGCTATATACTTTTAACTTGAGGACATCTGTAAAATCAGTACATTACAGAAATCCTGAAATTCCACTAGCTATAAGCTATTTAAATACTGCTTATACAAGGTATTTGGAGGGGGCGGGGTGGACAAAAGCTTATTTACACATTCACTTTGCTGTATACCTGAAACGAACACAACATTGTAAATCAACTACACTCCAATAAAAATATAAAAAAGTATTAAAGGAAAGCCAGCACCATATAAACAGCATACACTTAAATAAAAGATGAATGTTTAACGTACAGAGCAATGTTTTTTATTGACCGATAAGCTAAAGGTCCATTTCAAGATGTTTCTTTTGTATGCTTAATGTGTTCTATTAGCAAGCAAAGCCCTATAAAGGATGGCATCATCTAGTCCTCAGACTCAGATTCATCTTCATCTTGACTAATCTGGAAGTAACGAAGCTCATAAGTCTCCTTGTCAGATGCAACCACATGAAGCCAATCACGAAGATTGTTCTTTTTAAGATATTTCTTGGTAAGGTACTTCAAATACCTTTTAGAGAACTGTTTCTCAGAAACGACTATGATTTTAGTCTTGAAGCGTTCAATGTGAACGACGTTCCCAAGATTTCCAGTTTTTCCATTCACTTTAACCTTCTCCCGCAGAAACTGTTCAAAATTTCCAGAATCAAAAATTCCATCTTCTACTGAATGAGTATGATCCAAATTAAACTTCCAGGTTGACTTCTTAGGCTTCTTGTCTTTCTTCGGCGCCATCTTGAAGGCGTGCCGCGCGATGAGAGAGCAGGACAAATTCTTTTTATTTTTAAAAATATTCCTGGAGGTTAATGCCAGATCCCAGTGGCCGGGCAGCTATTTACATGAGCCAGAAGCTGTCAGATTCTAATAAGGTCAGTCAGGATGCAGTATCCACCAACTACACTGAGCTTTGTGATTCTGAGACTGGGACTCAGCAAACATTTCTGCTTTGCCTTCTGCTTCCATGCTAAGGCTTTGCCCGTTAGGAGCACTAGAGGGAAACTCTAAGAGTGGAGGAAGAAGGGACTTATTCCTATCTTCCTCTGAGCATCATCACCCACGCAGTGCTGCTTTACTCTGGCAGCAGCAGTTCCTTTTGTAGGAGCAGCTAAATCAGATTTCTCAACACTTGAGAAACCAGTCTCATTCCTCCCTCCCCCTTCACTAGCAACCAGCTCCTTTCCCAGAGGTTTGAGTTCTTTCTAGTTCCATGGGGCCCTTCCTCTAGGTTTCTAAGGCGTTCCCTTTGTTTCTTCAGGGTAGCTATTTGTTAACTTCCATGACACCTTAGAGTTCTCTTTTTACCATTTAGCAGTTAACAACTTTATATCCAGTTAACAGTTGTGTTAGTACTCTCTGTTCAAATAATTGGTATGTTTTCTGCACAGTGAATGGACCCTGATCGATAAGCCTATGATATATATATATATATATATTTCTAACTTTTTATTATGGAAAGTTTCTTTTTTTCTTTTTCCATTTATTTTTATTAGTTGGAGGCTAATTACTTTACATCATTGCAGTGGTTTTTGTCATACATTGAAATGAATTAGCCATGGATTTACATGTATTCCCCATCCCGGTCCCCCCTCCCACCTCCCTCTCCACCCGATCCCTCTGGGTCTTCCCAGTGCACCAGGCCCGAGCACTTGTCTCATGCACCCAACCTGGGCTGGTGATCTGTTTCACCCTAGATAATATACATGTTTCGATGCTGTTCTCTTGAAACATCCCACCCTCGCCTTCTCCCAGAGTCCACAAGTCTGTTCTATACATCTGAGTCTCTTTTTCTGTTTTGCATATAGGGTTATCGTTACCATCTTTCTAAATTCCATTAAGAAAATAGTAAAATGAACCTGATGTACATGTCATACAATTGTAATGATCATTAATTCATGGCCACATTTGTTTTATTTTACATTCATATTTACATCTGCCCCTCCCCTAAGTGGGTTACATTGAAACAAATCCAAAGTAAAGGAAAGGAACAACAAATATTTTTTACAGGAAAATAGTTTCCTTACAAAAACGGGTCATCTTGAATTTGTACAATGTGCATTCATTGCTTACCTAAACAGTAAGACAAAAAAGAAGAGCAGGACTTCCCTGGTGGTTTAGTAGTAAAGAATCCGCCTGCCAATGTAGGATACATGGGTTTGATCCCTGGTCTAGGAAGATCCCAAACTACTGCGGAGCAACCAAGCCTGTATGCCACAACTACTAAGGCTGTGCTCTAGAGCCTCGGAGCTGCAAGCTGAAACCCGTGGGCCTAGGGCCTGTGCTCTGCAATGAGAGAAGCCATTGTAACGAGGAGCCTGTGCACTGTGATTAGAGTAGCTCCCGCTCACCACAACTAGAGAAAAGCCCACAGTAACGACCCAGCACAGCCAAAAATAAACAAACAAATATTTATTTTATTTTATTTTTAATTAATAAATATTTTTTTTAAAAAGAGCAAACAAAAAACAAGCAGAACCAATAAAACAATAAAGATTGCGGGGGGAAATGGAGAAGGAATTGGCAATCCATTCCAGTATTCTTGCCTGGAGAATCCCATGGATGGAGGGCTACACCCATGGGGTCTCAAAGAGTCAGACATGACTGAGCGACTAACGTACACACACACACATAGAAATAGAGAATAAGAAGATGAATAGGAAAAAATTAATGAAATCAAAAGTTGGCTCTTTGTAAAGTTGAACAAAATTGACACATCTTTAGAAAAGAAAAAAGATTAAAAAAAAAAGAAAAAAGATTCAAAGTACTAAGAAGTTAAAGAGGGTAAATCACTACTAAGCTTACAGAAATAAAAAGGACTATCGGAATCCTTTTGAACAACTGTGTGCCAGCAAATTAAACAACCTAGATGAAATGGGTATTCTTAGGAAGATATAAACTACTGAAACTTACTCAAGAAAAAAATAGAAAATCTGATAGACCTATGACAAGTAAAGAAATTGAATTAGTGATTTAAAATCTTCCAACAGGAGCCCAGCCCTATGCTCTGTGATGACCTAGAGCGGTGGAATGGAGAGTGGGGTGGGAGAGGCACAACAGGGAGGGGAGATAGATATATATATATGTACTTTTGGTTGATTCAAGTTGCTATGTGGCAGAAACCAACACAACATTGTAAAGCATGTATCCTCCAATTAAAAAAAGAAAAACTTCCCACAGAGAAAAGCCCAGTCTTTACTGTTGTATTCTATCAAATGTTTAAAGAAGAATTAATACCAGGCTTCGGTCATGGTCCAGTGGTTAAGAGTCTGCCTGGCAATGCAGGGGACATAGTTTTGATCCCTTGTCCAGGAAGATCCTACATGCCTCGAAGCAACTAAGTTCTTGCAACAACAAAGATCCAGTGCAGACAAAAATAATTTTAAATAAAATTTTTTTGAAAAGATACCAATCCATCACAAACTCTTTCAAAAAATAGGAGGGAACATTTCCACATTCATTGTATGATGCCAGTGTTACTCTAATACCAAAAAGAGAAAATGATACCACAACAAAACAACAAAAAACCTACAGGCCAATATCCTAATAATTCAATCCATATAATGTGTCATATTAATTGACTAATGGACAAAACCACATGATCATTTCAATGCAGGCAGGAAAAGCATTCAATAAGATGCAATAGTCTCATCAAAAAACTCAACAGCTAGGATTAGAAAGGAACTTCTTTAACCTGATACAAGTCATCTGAAAAACCCACAACTAATATCATACTTAATAGGAAAAGATAATATTCCTGAGATCTGGAACAAGGTGGGAATGTCTACTCTTGCCTCTTTTATTTAACATTTTACTGGAACTTCTAGTAAGGGTAATTAGGCAAGAAAAAGGAATCCATTAAAAAGCTATTGAAACTAAGAAGTTCAGCGAGACTGCAGTATACAAGATCGACATACAAAAATCAATTTTATTCCATACACTGGCAATGAGTAAACTGAAAAGCACTTCCATTTATAACAGCATCTAACAGAATAAAGTACTTGGGAATGAATTTCACAAAAGAAACACGAGACATACTCTGAAAACTACAAAACACTGGTGAAAAAAGTTAAAAGATCTAACCAGAATCTCAGCATGCTTCTTTGTACACACTGATGAAACCATCCTAAAATTCATATGGGAAAATAAGTGAGCAAAAGTAGTCAAATTAACCTTGAAGAAGAGTGAAGTTGGAGAACTCACCCTTCTTGATTTCAAAACCCATTTTTGCTTATTTTTATAGCAGTAGAAATATTACCTTGTAATGAAAGTTGGACAAATGCTAAATCTTGGACAAATGGGACACTGTGGAAACAGACAAAAATGGGAGGGTCCAGAGCAAACACTACCTGTGGAAAGAATGGAGATGGGTAGAGAAGACAGGAACAAGACTTCTCAATTTCCTTTTTATATTGTTTTGATTTTGAAATATGTAAACATTATGTATTTTAAAAGTTAGAGAAAAAAAGAAGTAAAATAATTTATAGGGACTTCCTTGGTGGTCCAGTGGTTAAGACTCCACCTGCCAAAGCAGAATCGATCCCTGGTCCAGGAAGGTCCCACATGTCATGGAGCAACTAAACCCATGTGCCACAACTACGCAGTCTGTGCTCCACAAGAGAAACCACTGAAATAAGCCCATGCATGCAGTGAGGAGCAGCCCCTGCTGGCCACAATTAGGAAAAGCCTGCACACAGCAACAAAGAGCCAGCACAGCCAACAATTAAATAAATTGATTAATTAAAAATTTTCAAATAATATATAGAATGCCATCTATTTATTAAAAACAACCACCTTCCTATAATTTCTTTTTTGAAAGACTCCCAGAAATTCTTTTTTAAAAAATTTACTTATTTATTTGGCTGTTTCAGGTCTTCATTACAGTGTGTGGAACCTAGTTTCCTGACGAGGAATTAAACTCAGACCCCCTGCACTGGGAGCTCAGAGTTTCAGCCACTGGACCAGCAAGGAAATCCCTATAATTTCTTTTTAAACAATATTCTGAGGCTCCTCAAATTTGACTTGTAGTCAGTGAGAAGTCAAAAATATAAGGAAATCCTTTTGTTATTCCAAGTAAATTTCTCAGCTTGCTGTAAAAGCAAAGGTTAGGATTATACTATCAGTCAGTTCAGTCACTCAGTCATGTCTTTTTGACCCCATGGACTGCATGCAGCACGCCAGGTTTCCCTGATCGTCACCAACTCCCGGAGTTTGCTCAAACTCATATCCATTGAGTCGGTGATGCCATCCAACCACCTCATCCTCTGTCGTCCCCTTCTCCTCCTGCCTTCAATCTTTCCCAGTAACAGAGTCTTTTCCAGTGAATCAGTTCTTTGAATCAGGTGGCCAATGTATTGGAGTTTCAGCTTCAGCATCAGTCCTTCCAATGAATATTCAGGACTGATTTACTTTAGGATGGACTGTTTTGATCTCCTTACAGTCCAAGGGACTCTCAAGAGTCTTCTCCAACATCACACTTCAAAAGCATCAATTCTTCGGCACTCAGAGTTATTTATAGTCCAACTCTCATATCCATACATGACTACTGGAAAAACCATAGCTTTGACTAGACAGACCTTTGTTGGCAAAGTAATGTCTCTGCTTTTTAATATGCTGTCTAGGTTGGTCATAGCTTTTCTTCCAAGGAGCAAGTGTCTTTTAATTTCATGGCTGCTGTCACCAACTGCAGTGATTTTGGAGCCCCCCCAAATTAAGTCTGTCACTGTTTACTCTGTTTCCCC